CAGTGCACATACTCAAAACAGTAACAGACCTTTGGTTTCGGCAAAATGACGCCGTGAAAATACTGCGGAAGAAAGCGACATCATTTAGATTTGTATTTGAGCGAAATTGTGTGTGGCCGTACTCTCCTGCAATCTCTCCACTGTGTAAATTTACCTCTTTTCTCGAAAGCAATAACATCATAAACTTTAAAAACAGCGAATCGCCATGTTCGAATAGTGTTCCTAATAAAATGCTTGAAAGTCTGCCACGGAAATCTATCACAAAACTTGCATCCATTTACAGTGCACGTTTATTTGTTTCCTGTTTTTTAAACCTGTGGTAAAATGCAAGTATTGTTCTCATTACCAAACTGAACAAGGATCAGAGCCATTCTGAGAAGCTAGCCTATCCACAGCATGCGAAAGATTCTTGAAAAGTTATCTACGACAGGCTTATTCAGTACTTGGAAAACTTACCTGATGAACAGACAATATGCTTCGGTAAAATTTCTGTAGAATTCTAATTTCTCATCAGAATGTGTTAGTTCATTAAAAACGCTATTCATGAATACCAAGTTGAAAGTACAATTTCTGTATGAGTGGGCTACTCTTTTTCTAATCATGAAATCATGCTTCTATTAGGTTCCGTTTTCACGAGATCTCACTAGGTTCCATTTTTTTTTTTTTTTTTTTTTACTTCTGCTCAATCTACTTATACGCTATACCTAAATTTTAATGAATTCGTTTGTTAGATAATAACAAAGCTTCAATAAGTGTTTATTTATATTTTTATATTCTGTATTTGTAATTTGTAATGTAACTAAATAAAGAATGATCTGTTAGTATCTAATTAAATACAGAGCCCTCTGGTTCTTCGAAATTCTGCAGGAATGATTGGGACAAGAGGGTCGAGACTTCCGTTAGTTTTGTATGGGCAACAAACACTTTCGACTTCGAAATGAAAATACCTCTATGTACTTTTGAAACATACCTTTCCTGATGCTTAGATAGTTTACCGGAGGACACGAATAAGTGTACGGACAACAGCACTGCACAATAAAGTATACAGATCTAATCCTATAGCACTACCGTACCAGCTAAACAATTTTTAAGCAGCTGGGTTCTAATTTAACACCCCAATAAAAACGAAATCTTTGCTATTACTTTATAACAACACAACATTGGGTGTATTACTATACGTTACACAAATATATGGTTCACCACCTGCCGAGCTGTAAAGTTGTTGAACACTGGTAGCTCGGTTCGAGGCACGAATCCCGCGAACGGGCTAGCTGCATTAGTGTTTTCTCAGTTTTTCCCATGTGAAACGTGTATACGGGCCAGTTTCCCTTAGAACGTCTTCCACGAAGACATCACTTCCCTTAGGCAAATAGCCCTCGAGGCTTTGCCGTAATCACATAAACTGAAACCGAACTGCATAAAAATATATAGAGAGAGATTCATTTGCCGTAATATTAATAAGTGAATTTAATTGATATTAACTATAAAAATGAAATAAATCTGTATTAATAATGTGTTTAGATTTTATGACAGACTTAAAAATTCTGGATAACTTCTGTTATGATTTTAATAATTTGTGTCTCGAATTTGCTTTCTATTTAGCATGAGTTGAGTAATAGCATATATTAAAGAACTAGGAACTTTCAATGCTGTATTTGTTCTTTAAGATGGACACTTTAAGATGTGGTTCATAGGATAACTCCTTTCACTACCTACTTTGATGATCCAAAACATTATGACTACTTACTCAATAACGTTTTACGCGACCTTTGGGCTAAAGCAACTCACTGTAGCATGAATGCCAAAATTTCTTGGTATATGACTAGAAACAGGTTGCACCAAATATTCAAGCATCGGTCACGCAAAGTCGAGATATTCCGACATCGTGGTGTTTGAGCTTTGAGATACCGTCCATTGACATCGCAAATGTGCTATATCTTGTTAAGATCTGGAGAATTAGGTGGCCAGGACATTAACTGGAATTTATCCTTATGCTCCTCGAACCGCTCCAGCACAATGGGGCTTTGTTCTGCTGGAAAATTCCATTTCTATTTAGGAAGACAAACGTCATGTAAGGGTGCAACTGATACGCAGTTATTTGCCGACAATCCGCAGCTTTCATGATATATTCTACCACAACTAAGGGTCCCGAAGGAGCCCATCAGAACGTCCCCCAAAGCATAATACCGCCACCACCAACCTGTGTATACCTGTGTATGAGCTGCTGTATACGGGGGAGCAACTGTGTGTCTGGAAGATGGAGTACTCTAACACGACCATCGACATGATAAACAATAAACAGTGATTCCGACCAGACAACTGTCTGCCACTTATCCACGATCCAGTTATTGATGTTCCTGGTCCCAGTGTAAACGTAGTTCACCCGAAGATTCGGAACGAGTATCTCCAAAACTTCATGATTGGTAGGTTGTTCACGACCTGCGACTGTTAGTATTTATGCACAGGGATAAATAACGGTGAAACCAACAGTAGACGCCAACGTGTTGGACGTCACAGAAAAAGGACGTTCAAAGACTGTCCCTCTTAGTACAGCAAAATTGGCGCCAGATAGTGGCTCAGCTGACAAGCAACGAGTGGTCAGTACAATACAAGCCGCAATAAAAATGTTTCGGAACACACTGTTCAGCGAACACTGTTGGATATGGGACTGCGCAGCAGACGTCCCACTCGTTTGCCTCTGTTGACCAAGCGTCATAGTGAACTACGTCTACACTGGGAAACGTTCAAAATTTTCCTAGTGGGACAAAATTTGAGAATAAAACTTTTACAAATTACAACTTTTCCCTTATTTGTTGTTTTTTTACCTTCAACGCATACGTAAAAATATATGTTTTTATGTAAATAATTATAAACATCTTTATTTCTTACTACAGGTTGACCACATGGTGGCGTTTCTTTTCTAACAAATTTTGCAGCGTTGGAGAAACGTTACTAGAAATTATCTTCTTCACGGTTTATATGTGTTCACAGGTCAGTCGGGTTGATTTCTGATCAATTTTAACTGCGAAAAAAAGAAAACGTTTCGCATATAAAAGGTATTCTCAAACAAAACGAATATTGGTGCTGCAAAAATTCGTAGTTGAGTTTATTTATTTTTTGACATGTAGGAATAAAAGTTAACAATATCTGTATCTTCGACTCTTAGAACAAGATTTATATCACACTCTTAATTAATTAATTCAATAGGCGTTAATCAAGTTCGTTTTTAATGGCTATGAAAATAATGTAAACTCAAACTTTAAGGTTATGTATTTTTTTGCAAAGACATAACCGAAATTTCTTTTGCGGGCTGCATGAAAGTGCTTTGGGGGCTTCCAGTTAGACCACAGCTATAAAGTATTCTTTGTATTCAAATGCAGATTTCGAGCCTCGCATTTTGGGTAAAATTCTAGTATACGGTTCGGCCATGGTGCGATTTTGAAAATTGTCGCAAGCACCTAAATAACTCGTTTACTGCTCATCATCATGTTACCAAAAAACGCCAAATCCCGCGTTCACCGTATTCTAGGATTAAACCGCATTTTTTTAAACATTATTGGCTATTTTTAACATGCATTGTTTAATGTGCGTAAGGTACAGAATCCAGCTAGCTTCTTGCTTATTATAAGGGCGAAAGATTTGATCTCTAAAATAATTTTTATGTTTTACTAGTGACTGGTTTAGTCGGTCTCCTTTTATTCGCTAGTGACCGGTCATAAACGATAGCAATCTTTGATTTTTCTTTATGGGGAGATTTACAAATAGAAATTACTCGTAATGATTGTAAAATTCCAAATTACTCATACAGCCAACCTATTCGTAAACAAGACTTACAATCAGGGACCTACGACCAAACTTATACACCTATAACCATTTGTAGGCCCAAAATAGCTTGCATTTTTTTTCTTTTCTTTACGTGCTACGTGATTTTCTTTACGTGCTTTCTTTACGTGCTCCGCTCTTAGGCACTACACGGAAAGTGAGGAACGCTCCGTGGAGGTCTTTTTAAGGAAAACTGGCTCGTATTCACGTTACACATGGGGAAAACCACGAAAACGCCCATGCAGCCAGCCCGTTCGATGGGGCTCGAACCCTGGACCGAACTACCAGTGTTAGCGGCTTTTACCGCTCGGCCGCTGGTGGGCCAGTAGCTTGCATTTTATTTAGAAAAATCTTTTAACCAATTAAAATATGCCAATATATTAGATCAAATGAAATAATGACATATTTTATATAAATACATAAATTTATTATAACTGACCTGCGAATATTCCCAATTATTGAATATCTATTTGTACACATATGCGGTAATTATATAATTCATTATGATTCTTCTTTTTTTACAGCAACCACCGCACAAGCCTTTGGCGGCATATAAAATTTTCACATTACACATTAGGTAATTAAGTTTGCCAAATTTGGCTACTAAGAACATGACTATTCTAACAAGAAAGTAACAGTATATTTGTATTTTTCACTTACTGAATAATACTTCTGAAAATAATTTGATTAAATATTATTTTGCAATATATGTTTTACTTTATGGAGTAGATGATTTTCTAACAAAACATAGCATTTTTTCATTGCATTTCTATACTTTAAAATAACATGACGTTAACGATATTCTGATTATATAGCAAAATTACACAAATAATTTTGCTGCACATTCTCATTGTAATGTTAACTTTTTATTCTCAGCGTAAAAAAATTGTAGCGTTAAAGAGATTAATATAAAACTTTTGCTAAGATGCACAGATGGTCAACAACAACGAATTTACATTAAGTGCCTGCGATTTTAACGGTTCCAATTTCTTTAAGTAAGCACTTACTAGCAACAGAGAGTTCAACATCGTCAATTGAAAAATATTCATTTGTTATCTATCTTACTTTGATGTAAATGTTAGCTTAGTCAACTGTCTCCATTAAAGACAACTCAAAAAGTCAAGAGGACGTTAGAAGTAACCACCTACTAAGATACGCATGCTCATATTCCGCACCTGTGAAGTACAAAGTTCGGCGCGATAAAATCAAACACTATATATGCCAGTTGTAAGCGATAAAAATTCTCCTTCAGCTGGTGTGATTTTGAGCACTTGTTTGCTTTGAATAACTACATTTTACATCTACATCAGGCGTTTGGAAAATGGCTTACTGTGGACGTAAGTTCGTTTTTGAGTTGATCATGAAATTATATGACACAGCTTAACGAATAACTGAATTATAAGAATTTTAGCTGAAGTTCTAGTACTCTATTATAACTAATGCGAAAATATTACTTTTCTCAATGCAGTAATTTTCTTAAATAGTTATCAAATTTTTCGAATAGATCTGCATTTTAAATTATCATTCTAAATTTACGATGTAAAGTGTTACGTAGTCTGAAAAACATATTAGACATCAGCTTTGTATTTGCATTGTAGTGTACGATATTTAAATATGGTAATTATGAAAAAATTTGAATCTGAGTTTTTTATGACAAATCATCACTTACGAAGAATTTTAGAAATGTTCTGATATTATGATGCCATTCTACATTTTAAAATTTTTCTACAGTTCTGATTTATGTTATAGAACATTTCAAAAATAAGATTTCTATAACACTACATTTGAAATATTATTTAACTATGATTTATTTATGCATATTTAATTGTAATCTTAGAATATCTTAAGATATTAAACCTGTTTATTCAAAGAATTTGATGCAATGTTTTTGATAATATCTTTTCGCTGTTAAACTTTTCATCAGTTCGATTCAGACCTCGAATTAAAATTGATTTAACGGTTTACAATAATGCAAACAATTTTTATGACTTTTCATAAACCAGTGACATATAACTATAGTGATATAAATTATTTTATCTGAAAATAAATCAAATATATGATATAGAAGTAATTCTTTGCATTACGTCATCTATATACAGCGTCATTACAGTTACGTGAAACAGGTAAATCCGTAGCAGTTGCTCATTGTGCATTGTCTGACAGCTGTCAGAGACATGCCGACAGATTTTAAACAGACGCATCTCTCAGTGTCTCTTTCTCTCTAAATAGTTTTTCAACAAAATTTAAAATTTTGGGTTTTAATTCCTTATCTATTCCCATTTTTTATCCACCTTATATGTCTCACCTTTGGCGCAGATCTGTTATTTTGCTAACCAAAAAGGGTTTAGATAATTTGTGCATGACTTGAGTTAACCCTAGATTAAGTGCGTGTGCAACATATGGCAACAACGCATGTATATACGTAACAACTAAAACGTCAAAATGACTGAACAAAATATTCGAATGCAGTTCAACGAACGTTACGAATGTTTTTGTTGAAGATAACGAACGATGAATGAAAGAAAGCCCGTTATGTTCAGTAGAGCACTGTGTACAGTCATACGTAAAACCTGTACTTAACATTTCGTCAAATAAATGAAGGAATCATCATTTTTAAATTATTCTTTTTATTCTAGGTGCATTTTAACCAGATGTGTGACACCTATTACCCACGCGTCTAATTGTGCAACACAAGTGTACGCGCCTAACGCAGGATTAATTAAAATGAAAAGAAATGTAGTTAATTGTGTACCTTAATTAAAATGATAAATGAAGCTAGATAATTATGTATATTGTTTAAATGATTAATAAAACTAAATATAAAAATAATATTTTTTTTATTTAAAGTTATCAAAGTAGGGAATAAATTAACTCTTTTTTTTCCTATGAATAATTACTTTGTGGCTCAGACAATAATTAGTAAGCTTTTTCCCCTACTTTGATATCCAGATTCAGATAATTTATAAAAAAAAACACTATTAGTTTCACATTCTTCACTTAACTTTATTTTACACTTCTATATGTATTTATGTATAAAAACGCAAAATTTCAGCCTGTCTAAAAATTGAATCTGAAGCTAAAAATAAATGCTCTTAGACTGTAAATGGGAATTGTTATATGATTTAGATAAGTACAACAATGAAATAAATTCAAAAATTTCGTTCCACGAGTGATATAATCATCCCCAACATTTCACAGATAATGCATGTTTTCTTTCTGAAAATTATTTAACATAAATTAATTATGTATTACTCACATTATGAATAATTAGTATTTTAGGATATGAATTTTGTATTTTACAAGTTAAGTAAAATCTTGTAAGGCTATATGAAACGTAACATTTTCTGTATTTTTATTGTAAAGTACGTATGTGGGTTAGCAATAGATTTACTAACATGTAGTTCTTCTCTGGATTTTGTTCACCGGCGAGTTCAGTCGGCTCTGTGTAGATGCTATTGTGATATTTATCACGTACAAAACAAATACGATTCTATAATGCATTTTTGTATGAATGCACCTTTCCCTAGGCTGGTAACGCCTTGCCTTAATCCATGTAATGAATAGTGGAAGTTACATCAAGAAATTAACTATTAAAATATATTAGATTAATTATTAATTGCGTTTAGTCTGCATTTATTAAATTAGGGTTTCGTGTTTTAGTCATGTATTCCGAACTATGAGCGAGTTTTCTATGGGTCTTCCAAGAAATGTTTACCTTAAACAGGGTAACATTTTCTGCCTTGTTTAGCCAATTAATCAACCAATCAGTGTACTCAAAAGCAATCAGAACAGATATTTGTTACTCTTACTTGGTCTTTTAACATTGTTTCATTTAAACAGTTATGTTCGAATATGACAAAACGAATTACTTCGCATTGTTATAAAACTATTAAATACCTAAACTAAAGGTGGATTGGTTGTTCGGTATTAGTGCTGTTTACAGTTACATAACATACGTGATTTATTATCACTTAATAAACATTAATTTAATAAATGCAGTCAACTGTCTAGTTTAGTACAGGGTGCGGTAGCGTTCTTAGCGTAATTTTACTTGTGTAGCACAATGACGTACTGCATGAATGCGCGCCAGCTCGTGCCGCATTCGTCTGCTAATGAGCTGCCATTTCGAGAATGACGGTGATATGAATCGTTGGAGTGCACAGCATCGTGCCTTTGCTGTTGAAAGTTATTTCAAGAATAACTACTCTATTATTGCTACCCAGCGTGTATTTCGGCAACATTACAACTTGGGACATTATGCGAAAATTCCAGATGGACGGACCATTGCCACAGACATTTCCAGGTAGAGTAATTTCCCGTTTTGGTGACATTTCCTTGCCGCCTCGCTCACCTGATCTTTCATGTGCCGACTTTGAAGGCATCTGAAGCAAGAAGATTTCCGAACACGTTGTGCCGCCATTCCTGAGTTGAAGGATCGCATTAGTAAATGGCATACCTTAACTATTAATTGACATAAGAGGAAATCAATAAGTTACGGTTACTGCCTTATGGTGTGCTTTTAATATCCTACTATGAATGCTGCCGCACTCTATATAATTGCGGATACTTCTAACAAAAACGGTAAACTTAGCGAGGCTTTGAAAACTATGGTCATATATTTCGTTTATCACACTCCTTGTATTATATTCCTAGCAAATAGCCATACGACGGCATATCGGGCATACACAGCTCCTTTCATAACAGCAATTATTATTTCTTGCCTTACCTAACCATTCGCCAGAGAAGTCACCAATTAAGCATGCATGAGAATGGTCGTGCATAGATCAGATTATTCCTCTCCTTCAATAGTCGGTTGCGATGATGAACTAACTGTCGATTCGAATCCACATGTAAACAGTATCCCAAGAACACATGGAAACAAACTTTGATTGACTACTAAGAAGCTCGGAAATTCTTATTGTTGCTCAAAAGCAGCTTAACAAATCTTAATTTTCTGCCAATAAGTTTGGCCTGAAACATTAATCGTTTATTTGTGTTACCAATAGCAATACGTGGCACAAATTGCTTTTTATCCGATGATTCATTCAAGATGCTTCAGTTTCATAAACATGAGTATATTTTGGAGATGAAGCACATCTGAAACGTTAAATAGTATTTAAACAATTTTTCATACCTTCCCCTTTAGAATACAAAAGGCTGAAATCGTGCTAAAAAAATCATTTATACTATTAGCCAATCATTTATATTATTAGCCGCTGTTTGCTTTTCTTTACGAAAAGTAGTTCCATCCAAGCATTTGTATAGCCTTATAACAATAGTTCTATAAGTGATATACTGTAACATATCTTTTTCTCTTGCATTTTATTTGTATAATAATTAAATAATAACCACGTTTTACTCATCAACTGTAATATCCATACATGATAGATGACATAATTGTTAATTTATTTCCAATGTTGCATTTATTGTTCAATTGATGTTATCAGTGCTGTGTATAGAATGCATCTTACTCATGTCATATCACGAAAATTTCGAAATTAAATGTATATGGTTTACTTAAGTATAGTCTTTTCTTGATTTATTTACCATTTTCGAATTTCGAGCAAATTTCCATATCGGTATTAATATAGATTAAGAGGTATATTTGTAGGACAGTTTGGCTAAGACAGTATAGAATCGTAGAATAAAAGGCGTCGATATAATGACATGGTGTAATATTTCATTGTATTTTCAAATGCATTGTTTATATCAATTAGCAGAAAGAAAACCTACAGAATTTTTATTGTTAATATAAACGCCAGTCAAATGCTTCCTAACCTAAATGAATTTTTTTACTGATAAAGTTTGTTTTGGTAACATTTGTAAAAACAGACAAATATATATAATTATTATAATTTGCAATATATTAATGGAACTAAGCATTTTGAATCAAGCATCAAATTCCGTTTTAAATAACATAATAAGCATCGCAATTTTGTGAAACAGATATTCATATGCAGAGTTGTCTTGCAGTAATTTTGTTCTTCTATATACTAAGGTAATTTATTACGCTACACAGAATATATAAAGTAATAGTTCAGGTTTAACTTATTTTTTGGACACTTTTGTCAGCATTTTAATAATCAAGTTATTTTTTCTGAAGTTTTAAAAATTAAGTACTAATTAAAACTAAGCATTATGAAATTATGTTAGTACCCTTAAAATATTAATACTAACAAGATTGCTATATTCCTGTATTTAATTTGTTATATAATTAGGCAAAATCATATATTTTTTGCGTATGTACATGTCATATTATATTTAGCAGGAATGAAATTAACTACTTTTCTTAATTTCTTAAATCTACCCATAGAATAAATATGAGCTTTTTTACTGT